ACTTTCTTGTAGATCTTGTCTAGCTGAAAATTTTATACTCTTAACAGTTTTCTCTAAATCTGTGATATAGTTTATTTTTCACGAAAATGGGTCAAAGACTCAAATAATCTCAATGAAGTTTCAAGGATCTGGATTTATAAACTGTTGACACAGAGATATGTGTTGCCTATTCAGAATAAATTGCTTCGCCGAGCGCAGCTGGATACGACCTCAGAGGTCCAACCCTGAACAGATGGGGCAAAAATGGACACAACATTCGCACTTGATACAGGTCTGAATTTGGATTGTAATTAAATATTTGACACATAATAGGTTTCTGACACAGAATAACTGTAGTCAAAGAACTTAGAATTGGTTATATGATTTGAATTTATATTCAATTTTTTGCTTTTTTTGCAATACACTATGCTGTTGCGAATTGACCCCCCACCCCCCCCCAAAAAAATTTTCTTTTTAATTTCTGAAATCTGAAATGAGAAAAAATTGTCCCCCCTCACAATTTCTTTTTTACCCCCTCCCCCCCCCCCCCACCCCATTTTTTTCCACCTCCCTCCCCCCTTTTCCAAAAAAAATTCTTTCCCTCAAGATATGGTCATAATCTCAATTCAAATTTCCAATGGAGTTTGCAACCATAATTACCCATTTAAATACATCATAAAAGTCTTTAAAATAGAAAATGACATACATAATCATGGCTAAAATTAATATATTAAATATTCCTTAATTAGTAACAGCTAATCACCTCAAGACAATACAACATTTCTTTATACGTAATTTGAAAACAGTGTAAGGGAGGTAATTCAAACTTAACATTGTACTTTTTTTTAATTGTCCATTAACCAGGAAACCCTTGTTTTTCCCCCTTTTTTGCCCCTAATTCCTAAACAGTTTGAGCCATAACCCCCCAAAGCCAATCCTAACCATCCCTTTGTGGTATGGAAACTTGTGGTATAATTTCAGAGAGATCCATACACCGTTCCACAAGTTATTGTCTGGAAACTAGAAAAATGCTTATTTGAGCCCCTTTTTGGCCCCTAATTCCTAAACTGTTAGGACTATAACCCCCAAAATCAATCCCAACCTTCCTTTTGTGATTATAAACCTTGTGTTTAAATTTCATAGATTTCTATTTACATTTACTAAAGTTATTGTCCGGAAACCAAATGTTTTCGGACGACGCTGACGATGACGAAGATAACGACGAAGACGTGATACTAATATACGACTGCAAAATTTTTTGCGGTCGTATAAAAAGAACAATCTGATGAACAACAACATTGCTAATTAATTCAAAGTTGCTGGACCATGAACTAGTGGTCAGGACCTCGAAATGGTCAACAAACTGAGATGTAGAGACAGTAATGTAACCGAATAGAAAATATTGTGGTCTATTGAAATTAGTTCGTATCAAACTAACTTAAGCAGAAAAATTGCTATATAATTGAAAGTCACTGGACCATGACCTACAAGGGCAGGGAGTTGAAATAGTTGTCAAACTGATATGAACTGATAGTAATGCAACTTTATAGAAAATATCATTGATCTGTCACAAGTAGTTCCTATCAAACTAACTTAAGCAGAAGACTTAATTAAGAGTTCATTTATATGTTTTGGAATTTAGTGTGACATACATTTTCATTGAACTTGTACACATTTTTGTTTAGGGGCCAGTTAAAGCCCGCCGCTAGGTGCGGGATTTTCTCGCTGTGTTGAAGACCCATTGGTGGCCTTCGGCTGTTTTCTGCTCTTTGGTCGGGTTGTTGTCTCTTTTACACATTCCCGCTTTCCATTCTCAATTTTATTAACATTGAAAATTGCTTTTATTAATTGAAAGTCCCTGGACAATGACCTAGGGGGCAGGGCCTCAAAATAGTCATCAAACTGATATGTACTGATAGTAATGCAATTTCATACAAAATATCATTGATCTATCACAAGTTAAGTTCTTATCAAACTAACTTAAGCAGAAAACTTAACAATTGTTTAAGCTGACGATGACAACATCGTCGCCCGAGAAGCAATTATAACCTTTTTATTCAAAGAGGGTAAAAAACAGTTAGCACAATGCTAATCTCCCCTGATGCCCTCTGAATAAATCAAAATATATTAATATAATATATACATATACATAACTTAATTAACTATGCAAACACATGGTGAAAAACATACAGATTCAGTGTTGCGTTTCATGAACATTTTACCTTAATGATGTTCAAGACAATATATATATATATATATACAGATTTTTAGAATATAGATAAATTTCTGTGATAATTATCATTTCATTAATCTGACATATTGTTCATGAATATTATAATAAGCTTTTTTGTTGAAAAAAAACAAGAAATTATCGTCGCAAGCGAGACAAAATCTGTAGAAGGAGTTGATTAAAAACAAAATTATAACCATCTTTGAATATTTTGTTGAAAAATGACCTAAGTTCCTAAGTCTAAAACAATGTGAAAAAAATTCCTCAAATAATTTCATAATTGCAGGTGCCCTTCAATATGTGTGAAGTTTCAGGGGTCTCGTTAAAAAAATGTAAGAGTTAATTGTACAACTATAGTACCAGCTTTTCTGGGCCGTCTGGCCTGACATATCCCGATATCCAAATTAGAAGCTGCAACTAAGCCAACTAGAACCAGTAAAAAAAACAATTCGAGGGTAATTCCTCCTATAAAGAATTATTTGTCAACTTGTCTAGTTGTTTGTAGATCTTCTCTTGCTTATCATTTTTGCTGTCAACAATTTCTTTCTACATTGTATCTATTATACTTTTCATGACTGCAATGCATATAACCAAAAACATAAAAAAATGGGTAATAATTGCCATTAAAAGGCTGTGTAAACTTATTGATCCTTTAAATGAACTTGTTCTAAAAGGTTAAAAATTTAACAATGTAATAAGATCTTTGAATATTGTTTTTTTATTACATTGATCATTTTTGTTATAAATAAATTAAAACATACTAAATATTATTGTTATACAGCTATGAACATTTTGCAGTCCTGTCATACTGTCGATATTTAGCACAAAATCAATTTTTCTCTGACTGTGTATGGTGTCTTTTCAATAAATCCATTGGATGTCAGAACTGATTCATATTTTAGTCTCAGATTTTTGCATGATTTCTTTTATTACGGTAGTTGTTATAACAAGGAATTATTTGAATCTGGAATAGTTTTGAATTCTGGAAAATTGATAAGAAATGTATGATGAAGACTTACCCAATTGAGCTGTGTTCGCCATGCATCCATGGCTAAGGGGGTTTGTAAATTCGTACTGAAATATCAATGAAAGTAACCTGAACTTTAGCCATGCATGCAAGGCTAACCCTCCATAGTTTGGTTGGTTTTTATCATAGATTTCTTACCAGTTTTCCAGAATTCAAAGTTATTCCAGATTCAAATAATTCCTTGTTTCTATTAGCTTTGAACTAGCTTTCAGGAACTGCTAGTACTCTCAAATTGATACTTTGTGTCAAGTCTATTTGTTAGTTGTGTTCAAGGTTTTTTTTGTGTGTGCTTTGTGTCTATCTGATTGCAGTCAAGCCTTTTTCAACTGATTTTTATAGTTTGTTCTTATGTTGTGCTGTAACACCACTGTCCCAGGTTAGGGGAGGGCCCACAAACATGTTTAGCCCCAGTCCATCACATTCTGTATGTACCTGTCCAAAGTCAGGAGCCTGCAATATATTGATTGTCGTTTGCTGCCGTAGGTCATATTTGTTTTTCCTTTGGCTGTTAATTTTCTTGTTTGAATTGTTTTACATTTGTCATGTGGGGCCTTTTATAGCTTATTATGCGTAATGGGTTTTGCTGACCTATAGTTGCTAAAATTTATGTCATTTGGTCTTTGATGGGAAGTTGTCTCATTGACAATTTTCATATACCACATCTTATTTTTTTAATAATGCCTAAAAGAATTCGATTGAAGATTAATCAATTAGTAGGAATGTTAAATCATGAATGTAAAATCTATCGAATGTGAGATCAAACTTGATATGATTCCTTGGTTCTTTTTTTAGCACTCCGAGTGGCCATGTTGCATATATATTCTTACTAGCCTAAAATAGAACTGAAGTGAGACAGATATTATTCTTACATAACAATGAGTTTATGAGATAAAAACCTAAATGCCATACTTGTTACCAAAGTCACTCAATGCAATATAATATAAAATGTAGTTTATAGCAATCAAATTGTTGCAAAAATTGTAGCATGTGTAGTGCAATGTACTTCATTTGGGGTGCAAACATGATGAAACTCAAAATAGAAATGTGGATTGTAATCTTTAATTTATAGCTTTTTACATCGCTTAAGTTTCACATTTATCTTTTAAAACCAATCATGCTGTGCTATGCAAAGTTCAGTAAACAAATGGCAGTATTTGAAATCCAATAAGTAAAATTTTGGTAACAAGTCTATCACAATCTCCAATAGTATATCTCCTTTTTGTCAAGCCTGTGACATTTATGTCGCGAAAGCAAGACATAGCGATCCTAAGTTCTGTGTTCGTTGTCAGTGGCGTCCACATTTAGGTTCAGTTTGTCACAGGTTAAAAGTTTTTTAGACATCATTAACTTTGTCAAACCGTCATAGAATTTTATGAAACTTTTTTATGATTAAGAGATAATGTCTGAAGCAAACTTTTGAAAATATATTTTCATTTTCAGTATTTTTCTGATCAATGGACTTAGTTTTTTTACAGTTAACATTTACAGACAGTCTGGGATTAAATGTTTTTGACATGATAAGTTTGTTAACCTTCATGGATTGTTATGAAACTTGGACAGAAGCTAATCTTCCAGACCAAGAAATAGCATCTAAAGAGAAAGTTTGATTTTTTTTTTAAATTCTATATTTTTTACTTATAAACATGATAAATGGACTCACATAGGTGAGACACAGGGTTCCGCAGAATTTTTCACTAATTTTCTTGAAAATTAAAACATATGAAACCCTTTCTTACATTATTGTTCAGCTTTAAGACAACTTACCACCAAATATATTGTACCATTTTGTACCAAAATACATATGATGTTGTCTCCTCCTGTTCATATTTCTTTTTAACCCCATTCAATATCCTATCCAAGATCATTTACATCAAAACACATTTACTTTCTGCCACATCAATATATCATTTATAACTCCGTCACAATCACAATCAGAGATCAACCTGTTATTTTTTTTTATTTACTCCAAGCTGTTTCACCCTAATACTACATAATATCACCAGAAAATTGCATGCACTTGTCGAATTGTTGAGGCTAAATCCAATAGTACCATGTACATGGTATCAAACAGCTGGAAAATACTGCCGAAAATCAATATCTGTTTACAAGCTATTTTTATAAACAGTCAAGATGATGCTGATGCTAAGCTGATAATTGGGTTTTTTAATTTCTACAGGGATGCATATTTCAAAATATAAAGGTTAGAATATATTTTACTAAAAAGTTAACATGTGCTTTCAGTTAGTGATGGTTCTAAAAATAACAACACAGATTTAAAAACTTCCGCAATTTTCTATTTCCTTTTGTTAAAATATGTATTGTAGTTTAAAGAAATAATTTATAAGAGGTGTTCTTCAATAATCTGTTATTTTAGCTTTCTAAATTTAACTACATGTAATTGTAGTTTAGAAAAATAACAGAGAAACAGAGAAGACAGCCAGTGGCCAAAATCTCTAATAAATAGTTTATTTACTACAATATACATGATATAATGTAAAGAAAATAAACATAAAATAGAAGGAAATGTAGTATATTGATAGAAAAACAAAGGATATGGCGTATCCATCCATCACACAAAATCAGTACATGCACAGCAAAAAACACACAAAAAGCAAAGGAACAGAGTTTTTATTGAGTTGATATTTAAATTATTTTGTGTCACATTGTATGATTGATTTAATTGACCTTGAAACTGTTTGAAATCTTAAATGAATAATTCATTTTTATTGACAATGTTTTGTTTTACTATTAATTTTCAATAAGAAGATAGCAATAAAATATACAGAAGTAAAGTTAAAGTAACCTGTTCAGAAGACATCACATAGTCTGAGAAATTTAGATGAATGAAACCAAAATACCGAAAGGAGAAAGTTCGGTACGGGCCATATTTAACCCTGAATATTAAGTCCATAGTTTATTTTGAAGATAAAAAATGTTTCAAGTTGATAATAAACACATAGTGAAATAGAACTATTTTTGTGCAGCTTAACTTATAAACCCTTAACAGTTACAACCCAAATAGGCCAAAAGTAGAGATTTTGATGAATTTTGACAATCGTCATATTGTCATATTTCATTAACAAAAGATTTCTCTTTTTCATCTTCATTGATAAAGTTCAAACCTAAATTCAAAGAAAAATGAATTGCATGTATATATAAGAAACACAGATCGTAAACAAGCATTGGAGAATTGTGGGGTAGAAAATCCTAAGTATTTCCATAAATTCAAAGTTTTGTAGTTTATAATTATGACCATATCAATGATAAAATTCATCAGACACCTCTTATAATAAAAGTTTAATCAAATTTTCAAATACATTAAAATATTATCTACAGCAAAAATCTTTTTACAATTGATGAAATATCAGCTATTAAATCTAGAACCTTATCACATTTGTATTATTTGTTTAAAAAAAAAATCACAACCAAGAATTGAACATTAGTAACAGATGGTTTAGCATAAACACATGTTATTTGATGATGAAAAGGCATGTGGAGGTTATTTATTTTTGATGAATAAATAAAACTCTTCAAATTCCCTTTCCACCCATTATTTTTTATATATCATACTGGTTAAACCCTCCATTTATCACTCATTTCCAAATATGTTCAAAGAATTCCAATAACTCTTCTCTAAAATTTCAGATCCAAATCTATTGGAATATATGTATGCTAACAATTGTACATGTAATTACCATAAGTGTCAATGATGTAGATCCAATTTTAGGCCAAAACATATATATATATATGCAAGTTTATTGTTTTCTGTTTGGTAATAATTTAATAATAAGATCTGTTTTGTTACATCTTGTGATCCGTTTATTTGGCAATCGCCAATGGCAGTCAGCAGGGTTTAAGAACATCAGTTGTTCGACCTGCTAGTCAAATGCGTTTTGTTAAAATATACTTTTTCACTCATTTGGTCTTTTGGAAAATGTTGTTTGTGCTGTATTTAGACTCCTCTACCAAGAAATTTGTTTTGAATGCACACGTATAAAAATTGCGGTTTTTATCCAACGCAATCATAGGTTTGAACGTTGTTTTCAATTTAGATTTGTTTATACATATATATATATATATATATGTGTTTCCTGTCTCCCTACCAACCCTAATTTGTTATCCTTCCCCCTGGTACCCTAATACAATTTTATGGACATTTTTGGTTATGCACCATTAAAGCACAGACATTTTTGGTTATGCACCATTAAAGCACAGACATGTTTGGTTATGCACCATTAAAGCACAGACATGTTTGGTTATGCACCATTAAAGCACAGACATTTTTGGTTAAGCACCATTAAAGCACAGACACTTTTGGTTAAGCACCATTAAAGCACAGACATTTTTGGTTAAGCACCATTAAAGCACAGACATTTTTGGTTATGCACCATTGAAGCACAGACATTTTTGTGTAAAGCACTGTAAAATTGCAGAATGCAGAACATATCCCTATAGAAGATGTGAGAAAAAAAATATGCAAAAGGCAGCTAAACTGAGGTATATATATTTTTTTCTTTTGCCTTATCAAAGTTGTCAGCCTCTATCATTAATATGAACAAAAGAAAACAGTAACCCAAACTCCAGAATAACCAAAAGAGAACACTTTTGAAGTCAACATACACAATGTACTGTCTATAACAACAGAAAAGGGCCTCCAAGATTTGTCAAATCATCTTGAGAGTTAAAGTGCTAACAGTGATTATCAGAGATCTTTCATCTATACAAATCCCTCATAGTGACAAAATTTGCTAAACATAAAAATATAACAAAAGACAAACACTGACAAGGTTCCTGACTCAGGACAGGTACATGAACATGTGGCAGTGTTACAATATACATATACATGTACATATATTGATTTTTTTGTAAAGGTCTCAACACTTCCCCTTTTCTTACTTTTTATCTTAATCGGTATAGTAACCAAGAGGTACATAAAATGCTTTTACTTTAACTTGTGCCAGATGTGGAGCTGGAACTATTTTCAAGTTTTTGTTGGGATTTGTGTTGCTTAAGGTGGTACATAACACTACAGGGAGATAACTCTGTAAAAATCAGCTGAACGTTTTAATCACCTTCTATTGTTAAGGAAATAATAAGCTTCTCCATGATCAAAATTAGTGTTTGTCAAACTGCTATATATCCAATGAAATTTTTCCGATAAAGTGTGTGGTTCAAGTTTTTGAAATTTCTATATTTTTGTCAAAGTTTCAAAGTAAATGTTTTGACAAAATTTTATGAAAATTAAACGAGCAAAATTAATTTAAGTCAAGGTGTTTGGTACCATCTTAATCTAAAGTTATCATGGAAGTGTTATGTGGACTGTTTATTTGTTTTTTCTTCTTTCATTCTTTGTTTTGAATTGATCTTAATCTTATAGAAATATTGAAACTATAGCTTCAGTGGTTTCATATTAGGTTATCAAGTTCCATTGTTTGAACAAAACTATGTGGTCACTGACATGATTTAAATAAACTGCTTCACTGAGCGCAGCTGGATACGCCTGCAGAGGTCCAACCCTGAACAGTTGGGGTAAAAATGGACACAATATTCAAGCTTGATACAGGTCTGAATTTGGATTGTAATTATATATTCGACATATAGGCTTCTGAATAAATGTGGTCAAAGAACTTGAAATTGGTTATATGAATTGAATTTATATTCAATTAAAGATTTCTTGCTGTTTTGTAATACACTGTGCTAACATGCGCAATACTTAGTAAATCTGTTGTCAGACTATAAACAAATAATGTTCAATTAATTCTCAATGTCATATTAGACATTTATGAAAATCAAAAGAGAGCTTACATCAATAGATATAAACAATTCACCAAAGTTTCATGAGAATTGCTGACAGCATTTTTGAGTTATTGTCCGAAAACTGGAAAACCCCCCCTTTTTTAATGAATAAAACCCCATAACTCAGAAATGTAAAATGTAAAGTTTATAAAATTCTGAATGGAGCTTACATCAATAGATATAAATAATTCACCAAAGTTTCATAAGAACTGCAGAAAGCATTTTTGAGTTTTTGTCCAAAAACTGGAAAATCCCCCTTTTTTATAAATAAAACCCTGAAACTCGGAAACGTAAAATCTAAAATTTATAAAAATCAAAAGGGACCTCATGTCAATAGATATAAACAATTCACCACAATTTCTTGCAAGTTGGTGAAAGCATTCTTGAGTTATTGTCCAAAAACTTGAAAATCCCCCTTTTTTTACTGAATAAAACCCAATAACTCTGAAACGTAAAATCTAAAATTTATAAAAAACGAAAGGGAGCTCACGTCAATAGATATAAACAATTCACCAAAGTTTTATGCAAATTGGTTAAAGCGTTTTTGAGTTAATGTCCGACATGTTGACGACGGACGGACAGACGGACGGACGGACAACGGTATACCATAATACGTCCCGTAAACGGGCGTATAAAAAGAGGGCAAAGATACAAAGGGGACATTCAAACTCCTAAGTGGAAAAAAAAACTGACCATGGCAGAAATAGAAAAACAACAAAAAGGCAAACAACAGTGTGTTAAGCCTTTAACTCTTAGCAAGAAACCTGACTTGGAAAAATTAAAAGATACACAATGAACTATTTATATTCCTTTAAAACCTTAATTTTGTGGATGGTTTGTAACTTATGTCATGGTTCCATAGTCCAAGAGAAAAAAACATTAAAAAAAATCTTTAACTGTATCATGTGTATTGTTATATATATATATATGTATATCACTACAAAACTTGTAAGGCATGAAAACTACCATAATTGGTTGCTACCAATAATCTCTTATTAAGTTATCATCTATATACTACGGTTAATGTCTAGTCATTCTCAATTAACTTATTTTTTATATCTATGGAACACTTTGTTCAAATGTCAATCTTAATAATGGGAGTCAAATCATGAAATAAGTGTAAAATAATAACCAGCGTCAAATAGATTTTCGATCAAAAGAAAACTTGAAAAAAATTACATCATAGATCTAATGCAAGGTCAAAGATAAAACTGAAATAAATGGAAGAAAACAAAAGTAAAAGGATATTCGATGTCTGAAACGTCTCTAAATTCAAGGAATACAAATAATTTGTTGACAATCTTTGAGATCTACCAACGTCTTATATCCAAACTGATGTGATTCTCACAGCAACTGTAGAGGTCACTTACCAATCATGTAAACTACATG